TTACTTAAAATATGACGTAGAATATAATTAAAACTGATATTGTCATTGTTGCGCAAAACATCAACAACATAATTTAGTTTTCCTTAGGCTTTAGATAGAAAACTGATACAGTCACTAAGTAATCTTCGACTGAAAATATCTTCTATAAGAAAAGGTTTTTCGCATCAGTTTACATACATTTCTATACCATTCTGATGGAATTACACATACGTGTGAGGACATCACAATAGAACAGAGATAACTGCTCAACTAGTCTCCTAAAGAGCCTTGGTTTGAAAAGAAAATTTTGATTTTTTTTTCAGTGTTCTTTTAAGCTTGATCGCTGGTCAATCCAAACTATTGGTGTCATAATAGCACAAGGTGGGGATAACTGAGGGGAAAATATTGGTGTCATAATAGCACAAGGTGGGGATAACTGAGGGGATTTAGAATGGGTTGAAGCCTCAAGTGAGAATAACTCTGTGAAATGAAGCGTCAACGATAGAGAAACTGTTCGGTGCGAGGTTCTTCATTCTCTATTTGAAAGTAGTTCAAGTGTAGAAAATGTGCCTCATGTGGTGAGCTTCGTCATCGAAGGAATGACGCCTATGAAAGAAAATAAAATTGATGAAATTCATGATTTGCTATTCGATTTATAGGTATTGAATTTTAGAAATGCAGTTGGGTTTATCGATAACGAGGCTCGCGGCTAGGTTTTTTTATATAAAAAAGGAGACACAGGTTGTCATTGAAAAAAATCTCATGGTACACTTAAAAGAAAAACTCCAATCGATCTTCTTCCCGAGTGATAATACTATTAAAATACCATGCGATTGTTTATCCTTTTATATGAAAGCATAAGCCTGTCACGTGGTTTCAGAGAAGCTAAGGCACGTGTAAAGGTAAAAACGTATTTTGTTTTTATTGATTTCATTTAAAAAAAATTATTGAAAAGCTCTTACTTACGACTTTTTTCTTCCAAAAGATATATGTACTAGCTGTAATTAAAGTTGATCAAGCTATAGATTTGCTGTGTAAAACAATAAGAACAAAAAACATATCATTTGAAGCGCTCTGCTATTTATGAATTCAAGTTTTAAAATATCTGCTTTTCAGGATATCCTAACTATTGAATACTTATAATTCCGAAGAGAAAACTGCCTTTATTACACCAATGATATTTCTAAAGATTCAGCCTTGTGTTGAGTCACAAATTTATGTCCAAGCGTTCAGAATCCAATAGTAAAATGGTGTTTTGAGGATGATTTCTAAAGTGTGCTTTTATGTAAGTGGATGACAATTTGCACCCTTTTTTACTTCTGATGTGAGCTGAGTAACAAGCTAAAAACAGCATTGATTATTCTATTCACACAGAAAGATAGTACTTATTTCTGATGGTTACTGAAAATGAAATATCTCTTTTGAAGACACTTTAAACTAATTATTAGAAAAAACTGATAAGTGTATGACTTTCGCTACATTTGTAATTATCGGGTAACGTAAGATGAATTTTTACTAATGTTTTTTTGCCTTTATTTCTCTTGGTGATTGAAATCCGTTTTTAGCAAAGGATTTTTTAACATACCACATCACCGAAGAAGTGCCAATTTTTTAAGTTGTCTTGGTTTCAACGCCTCTTATTATATCTTTCGTGACATATTTACGCGTGTGTACTGGTATTTATCCTTAGTGGTATCTCTAACCATAACTTACCATTGTTTCATATATATATATATTGTGCCTAGAGAACAACAGATACAATAAATATCTTAATTAATTCTTTATCATTTTGTATTGAAGATATTGATGAGTATTAATACATTGATTTATTTTTGTCAGATTTAGTTTTTGAGAGTGTTATAGAATATTTTTAGATTGACTGAGTTGGAACCAACAATCAGAGTCGTTAAATTATTACCTGAAATTGAGGAGAGTAAATTCTAAGAACTTTGTGACAGAAACAAATAAGAATATGTCATCTCAATCACACTATATCTGTCATATCTAGTGCCGACGAGGCCGTTCGTCCAATACGAGGGTTCATCAGGCCGTTTGGGATACAATAAAAATATCATTGGTCTAAACGCTGAGTTACATTTAAACTTTCCACTATCACTTTCCTAGACTAGTTTAATGTAGGCCTAATATCTTCTGAGCATGTTTTGAGGGTGCAATTTAGATAATTCTAGTATCTTGGTTTTCAACCAGGAAAATGAAATTTCTAAATATAAAATGGTATATGTCCAACGTTTTTTGTCCAGTTACGCATATTGTTCGACATTTAAAATCAGTAACCATTTTCTTATTTTAGACATCATAGTTCCTGTAACCCTGTACGTTACTACAATACTGACTGCAATTTTTGGTTGTCATAAAATACTTTCATGAAATAATTCTTGCAATGGTAGCTCAAATATTTCCTTGCCAGTACTTGCAAATGATATACGGATGACTGTTAGTTCTAAAGCGGTTTTATTATGACCATCTTAAAGGTCAAATTACCCAGTTTCCTTTACACAAGACATTTGTGTAGCCTGGCATGGCCAGGTGGATAAGGCGCTCGACTCACAATCTGAGGGTCGCGGGTTCGAATCCGCATACCACCAAACATGCTCGCCCTTTCAGCCGTGGGGGCGTTATAATGTGACGGTCAATCCCACTATTCGTTGGTAAAAGAGTAGCTTTTTTGAATTTCGCGCAAAGCTACACGAGGGCTATCTGCGCTAGCCGTCCCTAATTTAGCAGTGTAAGACTAGAGGGAAGGCAGCTAGTCATCACCACCCACCGCCAACTCTTGAACAAACAAACATTTGTGTAATCCCGTCTATACGTGTTTACACGAGACATTTGTGTAATCCCGTCTATACGTGAAGTTATTACGATGAATAATTAATCACCATTAATCTTGAAATTGTTATCGGTTGTTAATCAACCTGAAAAATGCGTGTTAGTTATTAGACGTCATATATTTGCTTCCGTGTTATTTATGTACCGCTATGAAAAAAAAGGATAACATTATCATGTGATCATCCTGATGATTCGTAGAGAAGTTATTACAGACTGATTCTAAACTCTATCACTATGTAGCATTTAACCTTACAGGAGAATCTAATCCAACAACATTCCAGTCCTCACTCCCGAAAGGAGATTGTTATCTCTAGCATTTCGCCACAGTATAAGACTAAACTGATCGAGTGGGCTGGTTGCATGTGTAATCCTTATTTCAGCCACCTCACACACTTTTGTTTGATTTGTTTCATCAGAAACCAAGTCAATTAGATGGAAATAAAATGTTATTTACTACAATTAAACTTTGAATACATCAATAAAAACTAAATAATGTTTATACTGTTTGTTTAACTTTTTTTTTAGAATTTTTGTGCACAACTAGTCAAATGCTATGTGCGCTACGCCATCCCTAAGTTTGAACAAATAAAGTAAAGGCATCTAGTCTATAACACTCATCACCAACCCTTATCATTTCTGACCATATAGTGAGATTTGACTGCTACTCTTGTAGCATACTCACTACCTCAAAGTGCAGACAGCGTTTCAACGGCAACGGGACTCAAACCATAAACATTCATATTCATATTACAGATATTTTAACCACTAGGCCACGTCAGGCCTAATATTGTGAATAATTACATGCACACGCAGTGTATTTGGGTTGAGAAGTGGAATCACCAAAGTACTGTGAAATAGTTTGTCAGAAAATAAAATTAAGGTTTCAGGAGATGTTGGACGAGTCAGGAGGTCAAACAGAAGCAATAAAAAAGTAAGTCGCAACAGAACTTATATTTACATTTCACTGTATGAAGTGTGTGCCATCGTTTAGCTTACATCAAAACAATGTTTTAGGTTTCCGTCGAAACAGGTCAGTAGTAAATTAACTGGAGAGATAATATCGGAGTAATTTCTAAGTTACTCCGTCTGATGTGAATATTCTGCATAAAAGTTAGGCGTTCGATTCCCTGTTGAATTTTTCTTTGGCACAAACTTTCTAAAACTGCAAACAAACTTGTCTATAAAAGGTGTAAGATGGGGACGGTGTATTCGAATTAACTATAAAAAAAACATTCTAATTTAACTATATACAATTCCGATGCAAGGTTCTAAGATACTTTCATGAATAATGAATGTCTTCGATTGTTTGTTATAATTTAAACTAGAAATAACTTTATCAAGCACACGCATACAAACTCGAATGCTTACTGTAGTGAACTAGTGAAAGAAAATATATATGTCGTAGATTTATCAGTAGCATAGTTACACGTGAAATAGATAGAGAATATGCTTCAATAATTGTCTCGCTCAAACTTGTCTTGATACCAGTGCAACAAGAATTTTGTCAAATATATTTGAAGTATTGTATATCTTTCATGAACACCATCTTGATAACAGTGCCGCAAGAAATTCAGGAGATAACTTTGTGTCTTTAGCCTAATGATAGGTTCTTGTTGTCAAGGGCTAGATTTTCTTTTAGCCCTGTTGAAATGGGTAGTTACGGCTAGTTGGATCGTCTTACATAGTGGTCACTTACTCCACCCATTTCCCCGCCTTGTCGTTTTTGATTCTGAAGCCAGACTTAATCAACGAGGCTTCGTATACCGGCAAGCCCGTCTCGTGGCACTCCAAAAACTGACATTAAAAAACCTTAATTTAGTAAGAGGCATGCAGACTCGGATGAAACATATTCAAAACAATGTTGCCCTAGAGGAAAGGAGTGGTTATGATAAAACTGATATGGCACTGAATACTATTTAAATACTTGCTCTATGTGGTTCACATTCGTTGATAATGAAATATTTGAACAGGATGTTTACGATTAACCATTTGCAACATAATTAGAATATATTAAAGTTAGGATAAAGAAAAAGAAGGGAATGTTAACCTCTCTTGGTTGGGAAGTTTCTTAAAAAAATTTCATCCATTTCGGATGACTGATAGTGTTGCAGGTTTTTAAAGTCAGTATCAGTGGGTAGTTTATTTTTTAATTGTTTGAATTGATTTATTTGTAGGCACAAGAAGAAGGTCCAGAACTTTCTTCCATGCAAAAGTGACCACCAGAATACTTGTGACATCGGTAGTTCAAACGGAGTTACCTATGATGACGTGTTAATCAACCACCACCCTACAAGACTACCCAATCACCATGGAAACGACACTCAAACGCTTACTCCCATTGAGGTTGGTGGCTTGGTTTCGGTTCATACTAAGTTTCTGTACATGAAGTTAACTGCCTGAGCAAGCTTAAGACAAACTAATCACGCTATCTATTGTCTAGTAAAATAACCATTACGCACAAAGTGCTAATGGTATTTTTATCTTTAGGTGTTTATGGTTTAACGATAGACGTGTTGAAGACGACAGACAACATTTGTTCGTAAATCGAAAACTCGATAATAAGTAGAAACATTGCATTCTTTATATGAATTGCGCTAACAAAATGAAAAATTTGGTATAAATATATTACTTGATACTTTACTGAAATGTTACTTTTTCTATTTTTTCTCACGATATAATTTCGTTATGATTCAGAATTTTCTTAATACAACATTAATTAATTAATTATTCCTGTGTGTTAATGTCTTAATGTTCTCAGGAAAAATTTACCAATACTGATAACTTTAACGTAATAACATTCATAGACTTGGATTGTTGATTTGTTATAACGAGTGTTATTAATCTTTATCCGCTTTTCTTTTTTTTTTGCACCAGCTGTTAGACATTAAGTTTGGGAGATATGGAGATCAACATATGGCACCTGTGAGTCACACGAACTTCTCCTTCACGGGTAAAGAAGCTGGCAGCTTACGGTCCAATAAGAGCAAGGAGCAGTTTAATCCCGTCTATGAAGAAGTTTCGGGGAATTCAGATGGCAAGGGCGGAAGTCGAAGCTGTGACTCGGACATTGATGATAGTGAAGTGGAAGCACGTACTGTGGCTAGTGAAGATGAGTTTGCTGAGGATGAGTTGAGTTTGGGAGAATATCCCCACCAGCCTAGTCGTCCCTGTTCGGGAACTAGTAGTCTTCTAGGCTCTACAGGAGGAGATCTTTGCCCTGATGTGGGTTCTGCATCAAGCGATGGGGCAGGAAGCACCGAAAATAAAGAACTCCAACGACTCTTCCGGCGGAATCGGCATGATGGTTCTTCGGGACGAAAGCATAGTTCTCATTCTTTGGAGCGAAACAAGAATGGACATCCTAGTGAGGGATTTGAGGCAAAACAGAATTACTACAAAGGAAAAAATATGTTGGGACCAGACTTAGCTTACCCTGATACCAAACGTGACAGCGGAACGGGTATAGGCCTAACTCCTCGTCAGTTTGTTGGCCATCATAATCCATCTAGACAGTGTCTGCCCTGGAAGAACATCACATTTCCTCGTGGAACTACTAACCAAGGAGAAGGAAGAATTCCTGGGCTGTACTTTACTGGGGCAGGGTCACCTGCTCAAATAAGACCCCAATCTCCACCACCTCCTCCATATCCGACTGAGTTAGGGACCGAATCCCTGCCATCCGTCTACAACCCTCATACAGCACTACCAGCGACAACAACGAGACCTGGTCGTCTACCAGAAAACTTGCTGTCAGAACTAAACGAAAGAACGTGTAAAGCAAAACAGCCCGTGAACCACTCGGAAGTTCACAGTCACAGCGGTCACGTATTTACAGTTGGCCCCGAAGACGCCTACCCCTTAGCAGATGGGTATGGGAACCAAGGGGCTACTGTTCCCTTAGAATTTCGCACTTTCCATCCATCAAGCAGAAAGAGGCCCCCCACTCCTCCAATTCGTGGAAATGTTTACTCTTCTGTAGAGGATGAAGGACTGTTTACAATAGATGGAAGTAGACATCGTGGCAATCCAACTAGTCGTGTGCCGAGCGATCCTCGTCAAAGCTTCGCTAAGACTGACAAACGAACTGTGCCAAAAAACTCGAGCAAGTGTCATAACATTCCAGTATCTCAAAATGTAGATGAAAATGGACCTTATGGTGATATTCAACCCGTGTTTGATTCCAGGACCTTGTGTACGTGACGCATGCCAGAAGAGTGACCAGTGTGACGTACACAGCAAGACTGATATCAACCTTGTGTGATGTAGCGCTAATGTTATAGTTGTGATTCTTGTCATAATAATTTTTTTGAACAGGAAATTCGCTTTCTGTATACAGTTACCGGTACCCGTGTTCTTCAGTGACTCCCAGAAACTACCATCGCTATGGTTTGCAGATATAAACTGAACTAGTATAAAGTGCAGTAGAAGAAATCGATCAATGTCCCCTCTCACGTTCAGTACACTTGCCCATCTGATGGGGGGGGGGAGAACATAAAAACAAAATCTGTTACTGAACTGAATGCTTTCATGTAAGCAGAAATCTCCCGACACTATCAAGTTGCTTTTTCCGTATATCATGCAACGTTTGCGTAGTCAGCACTGTGATAAATAATTTCATTGTATGCTTATGCCCAGAAGCAAGACATCTTTGTTGTCTTTAGGACGGGTGCTGTAGTAGGAACGCTGGTGTACAGATAAATTTGGTTGTTGTATATGATGTTACATGTATTTAATAAGATTCCTCCTTAAACGCTAGTTGCGAAGTAAGATAACCTTACAAGCTATTGTATTTTTTTACAGAAACTGATGCTCAATTTTTGAAGTAGAATTTTGATCACTACACTAGTATGTGGTGTGGAAAAAATTGGTTAACATCTGAAATAAATCAATATCAATAGCTTTACCGGAGATAATATACAAGATTAAAATCTGTAGTCAGCTGAATTACTTATATTATTTTAACGAGAACTTTGTGCAAACATTAATCAACTTGTGTATAGAACTATTGTGAATATTCTTCTGTTATTACTAAATAGATAAATGTTAATATAGGTTATTAAAATGAAATAATTAAGCATTTTATTTTCAGCGGGAGATTCTTTCAGTTAATAATATTAAAATTTTAAACTTTCACTTAAAATGAATTTAAATAATGTTGTAACGATTGTTTTCATCCAGTTAAGTATTTAGTTGAATATAGTTGTCTTTAAAAACTAATGTACCTTCTATTTTACTAAGACGTTCTTAAGGCCTAAGAAACTTGATTTAAAATTTCCTTCATAAAATGCAACTGAGAATGAACAAATCACTAACGTTGATTTTGTATAATATTTATGAAATAATGAAAACAGCAGCTTATTGTTTAATTGGCATGGTATGTTCCTACGTCGGAAAAGGAGTCTGATTGTTTTGGTTTAAATAGTGACACGCAGTGGATACTGGGTAGACTTGGATTTATTCAAGCATCCGTTGAGAGTGGGTTCATGATCTACATATCACTGTTTACTCCATATTACCACGCTGGAAAAAATAACAACAATAAATTTAGAAAACTGTAATGTATTTGAAATGTGGCGTGTCTTTGTAAATAAAAGTTCCTTAAAACTGTATGTATGTGAAATTCTAATATTATTAAACATAAACTCAACTGGCATCAAACCAAGTAGTAATGTCGGCTATAATAAATGCATTGCAATTTAGGCTACATTATCTAATTTGGTGAATAAACTTGTCCAGTGGATTTTTCTTGAAGCTTTTAAACTTGTTCGTCTTATTTCTTATGCTTACTTGGGGATCATCATTATTTACTGACATGTCTCGTTTTGCGAAGTCGAAATATGCTGGTTGATAATTTATTTACACTTCAGGAAAGTTGTACTTGTTTGAATGGAATAAAGAAAAAGAGAAAAACACGCAGAAATTTATATTAAAGTCAACTGGTAATTTTAGAAAAAGGAAGATCTTGATACCGATACTGATTCAATCTGGTAAAAACTGACCAGTTAAAAATGTTTTTCGTTAGACGGTGAAATGGAGAATGTAGTTTCAAAACCTGTCTCTTAATGGGGAAGACTTTAGTAGTTTTAATAATATCAATAAGCAAAGCAGCCTTGTCAAACTCTAACTAGTAAGAATAAAATATTTTGAATACCTTTAAAGAGGCTACTTTTTAACAGATGATTGACTAAACGATCACGCATCTAAACTGAAAGAGGAAAACAACTTGATTACTTTAAAAAAAGATCACATGTTAACATAAAAAAACAAATAATAGCTACTGCACAAAAACATACGAATTTTTTCCTAAGTTGAATGAAATATTCATATAGCTGTAATGTGAAAACTGAGCAACTACAGGTGATTGAGTACTTTATATTAATGAGATTTTCAATATGCAAATATGCAGTCGATATAAAGTCGCGGTGAAAAAGCACGCATCAGAACTACATTTTGACATTGTTCGGTGTTCGCGGGTAATGTGATGACATAGAAAATTGGTCGCTTTTTTCTGGTAATGTTCAATATGAAGCACAAGGATCATCCAAAAGGGATGAAAAACCAGTCGTAATAAGCAAAGTGCTTCGTCTTGTAACAGATGAGAATTCGTGATCACAGAGGTCAGTGACAAATGCCCTCCGCGTGACCCAAGCAATATTACTCAACACAGCGAAGAAGAATTTCCTTCTAGAAACGAGGCTAATGGGCTAGGGTTCGCTAAGTTAAGTCTTCCAGTCATGCTCTTCCCCCATACCTCAAACAACTAGTGAGTGAAACGGTTGTTCATATTTATTCCATACGAAGTCAAACAGGTTAACTCGTCCGACCCATTGCATTTGGGTTTGTTGTGTCTTTTTTATTCTTTTTTATTTTGCGCAAGGCTACTCGATGGCTATCTGATTTAACCGTCTATAATTTAGCAGCGATAGACTAGAAGGAATAAGCTAGTTAAAAGGTTGCAAGTCAAGTGCTCCTACCACCAGACCATGCCAGGTCCAGGGTTTCTGTGGCATCGAACTGTTTTGATTATGGAAAGCGCACAGGGAGGAATGGTGTGCTTTGAGCATGACAGCTTTACGACGGAACCTTTTACAATTAATACTGCGTTGCAGAGCTATCATCAAGATTAATCGCGAGTAAATACTATATAGCAACTTAAAAGTGTTGGTTTCTGTTTCACACGCTTCATTTCCTCACTGTAAAATCAAATTATGAATTATATTTACCATATAAGTCCATGCATGAATATTGGAGAATGCATAGCATAAGTATTCGTGAAACATTTAAAAAAGTATATACCAAAAACTATTAGCACAAGTAAATATTTTTGTCGACGTAAGGAGTTTAAATTAGATTTAAGATGGTATGATGCATACTCTCTTCTTGTGGACTGTTCAATTTGAAAAAAAACAACAAACACATTCGTTTTGAATCTCTTTTCTATTATTTTTGGAAATGTTCTAGTTTGGTCAATTAGACACAAAATAAAAATACAAAAAATATTTTGTCCTATGTCCCACATGTGTGAATGAGCAAATATAGAATAATGTTTTGTAAACTCGCTTTCTCTACATAAATACTAGTACCCATGTCCTTCAATGATTCCCAGAAAGTACCAACACTCCAAAACTGGTTTGAGACAATTCTATTAATTTTTTCATATGTTATTTCACACACATAGAAGAAAAAATACTTTTTAATGTTGTACATTAGTTAAATAAATATAATAATCACAACAGTAAAAGGTAGATTTGTCACTTGTCCGAAATTTCTCTGAACAAGATGTTAACGAAGGCTAATAACAAAAAGGTTTGCTTTATTTGCTACTTAAAGGTTAATTTTAACAGTGTATTAAGTTTTAAACAATCAAAAGTGAAATTTATCTTTGTGTGGAAACGATCAGGGCACCTTTTAGAGAAATAAATCACAAGTGTAAACTAGCAACTTGGAATCGTGGGTATCTTTTGAAGCAACTCTCAGGCAGTGTTTACCTTTTACTTTGTTATTTATTGATTCGCACAGACATCCAATCTTTAACTGTAGTATTATGGATAATAAACCATCTCTATGAAGTAATTTGCAAGACTTGTAGTAAAACAAGCAAAGACGTAGTTTCACCATTCCTAATAGCTTCTGGTTATGCTGTTATTTGACTGGTTTTTAAGATCCCCTCCCCACTCACCATAAATGCACAATTCTGTGTATGTGTTCTTATTTATTGGGGAGCTTCGCTTACCTTTAAGGCCCTTTGCTTCGAGTAATGTGCTCACTGGAACTCTTTCACGTGAGCGTTATGCTCGACGCTCGAACACTTAACACAGTAATCGGCAATTTACACTGCAATCTGTGGTTGAAATGTTTCAGCGAAGGCACTGGATTTTAGTAATAGGTGCTCTACACTTCCATAATTGATCCAATAACCTTTGTAGACGTCACGCCTGGTTCTATCCTCTATGGCATAAAGTAACACCTAAGATCACGCCTGTTAACTTTTCTCACTAAATGTATGTATTTTTTAAACATACTATGGGTTTTGTGACCTCACTTTAGTGACGATGGTAACTGTATTTTTTCGAGGGTCAATCGAACACGTTATTGTTCATATACTATTCCAGTTCTGAACTGCACTGTTATATATATGCGTTATTCAATTTATAAAAACTTAATACATATCTGTACACTAAGAAAAAACAAAATAACATGAGCGTTTTAATGGGTTATTGAATTCATAAATGGGTGAACGCTCATATCGATAGATGAATGCATAATAGGAAAAACTAAATTTATGAATTCTGTTCACAAAATCCTGTAATTTTGAACAAATCATATTGAATCTGATAATAGGCACTGTGATATAACATTTGTAATGAGAAAGGAAACGTTTATAACTGCAAATGTATTGGTGCCTGTCTGAATTGGGCTTTAGGAAAGCTAAATAGTGCAAACTTGTAGTCATATTTCCAATTTTGTTCCAGGTAGATTGTATGGGACAACTTTTATTTTCGCAAACAAGTTATGCATTTCTCTTTACTTCGAAAGTCACGTGAGGAAGAATGTTATGTAAAACTTCGTGCATTCTCCACTTTAGTGCCACTTTCGTGTTTTACTGGATATTGGAAGGAGAAGTCTGTGTTTAACTAAAATCTTCACATCTTTCCAATTAGCCTCCAATCTTATAATAAGTAAAGATATTCAGTTTTGTAAGTACTTATTTCAGTTTCGGTGATCTATCGCAAGTTTTACTCGACTTGAAAACTATAATTCGAATTTATTTATATCCAATTGTTAGACAAAAGCGAGTTAAAAATTAAGTTTCTTTGAGCGTCAATGACTTTAATTCAAGGTTATTTGTTCTGTACGCTATCATTTGTTTTTCAAACGAGACTTCTCCTATCACATTTTAACACCAGATTTATACAGTTTTGTGGTAGGTAAGTTCAACAATCTTCTTCTACCTGTTATAGGACTAAATATTTAACAAAATATCACGAATTTTCCAAGGCTATCACATGCACAGTTTAATTTCTTAACTAATTTTTTTAAGGTAATGAACAACTTTAGTATGGTGAACACTATTAGTTTTACTTCCTGTCAGTTTAAGTATAGTTAATGTAAGCTGTATAACAATTCCTTATATGGTAAACCATAACGTCATTGGATTGGTTTAATTACACTAGTTTCAGTTAATCGCTAGACCATTGTCTAGTAATTGTCTTTGTGGCAAAAGAACCTATTGATAGAACTGTGTAACTACAAAGTTACGCGTTGAGAACACTTACACTTCATTTAACCACAAATGTTTACTGTATGCACCAATAGAACCTGTTTTGGGAACTGAGTAAAAAATGTAACATCTTTCTCGTCCCGTAATAGTGCATTGAATACATACGTATTAAAACACCTTTTTCAATGTATTTGAACCTTTCAATAACTAGACCAAAGTCGGTTATTTTACAGAGAATTAACATATGGGACCTATTTTAAACAGCTGTTACATATAGTCACATGTTATTATTATGTCTCAGAAAAGATATATATATATATATAAATCTGCATTTCTATTACATGTCGTATAAAAACCAGCAACAATAGAAAATGAGATTGATATAAATACTGCTAAATATTTGTTTAATGATTTTTCCATATTATGAGAAGATATTGACATCCACGTACAGTGGAGGTTTTGTGAAACTTTTGTCCAGATCTTTTGGGGCACGGCATGTCCAAGTGGTTAGGGCGTTCGACTCGCAGTCTGCGAGTGTAAACTATACTCTAAGTTTCATTTTTTCTAGTGTACTGACAATGTATAAACATGCATTAGGTCGCCTTTTTTAGTTGACAAAACGTTAAGAACTTATATATCAAAACAAAACATTTATTAAATGAAATAGTCTCCATTCTTGTCGATGATGCTTTTCCATCTTACAATCAGGTTGTTAATGCCATGATTAAAGAAATCACTTGGCTTTGAAGCAAAAAACATGTCGATGTCCTCTTTAACACCTTCCACATGTGCATACGTTTTCCCATTAAGATGGAACGAAAAAGATGGTAATCTGATGGTGTCATATCTGGAGAATATGGTGGGTGGGGAGAACTTCCCAACCCAACTCCATAATATTGTGTTGCGTCACATGTGGACATGCATTGTCGTGGAAAAGATGAGAACCTTTCCAATTGACGATTGAAGGGTGTTTCAGATGAAGGGCTTAATTTAAACACTCCAGTTACTAACTGTAGATCTCTGCATTGACAGTTCGCTGTGGATTGAGAAGTTCTAAATGAATTACTCCTTTGATGCCCCACAAA